CTGTGGAGGGCAGTGTCACTGGCCCTCATATGTGGGATCCGAACCGGGGCCCTCTGGCATCCCAAGCGAGTTCTTAACCATTGCGCCACTCGGCCGGCCCACAATTGAATTTTTTTTAAAAAAGCCTAGATATTTCACAGGCAATCTGAATTGTCTGCTTCTCTTAAAAATCAGATGCTGGGTCTATGCCTTAGGAGTGGCGCTAATTGATCAGAGTGCACTAGAGGCTACCCCTGTGGTGTGACCTGAGTGTACCATTGTCCCCAGCATTCCCTGTTGTTTATACCTGGAGCATTTCACTCTTACCTTTTATTTGCTTGGCCCCTGTAGATATCTGAGTTTGAGACCCCTGCTATTCACAGATTTCTCTGCAGCCTGGCATTTTCTTCCTTCTGCCCACTTTCTTTTTTCTTTCTTTCTTTTTTTTAATTAAAGTTTATTGGGGTGACAGTTGTTAGTAAATTTACATAGGTTTCAGGTATACAATTCTGTAATACATCATTTATATATCACATTGTGTGTTCACCACCCAGAGTCAGTTCTCCTTCTATCACTATATATTTGATCCCTTTTACCCTGCTCACTTTCTTTCCAAATTCTCAATTGACTTCTTCAAGGATTCTTTCATGATTAAATCCCTTTCCTCCTATCCCCGTTGACTCCTGAATGGCCACACTCTTTTGTACGTACGTACACTTTGCTTTATAACATTTGGATGTAAGTTTAGAAGTAATATCTGTATTTTTTTTCTTAAGAAATTTGAAGGCAAGGACCAGGCCTTTATTTGCTGGGACTTGGTTGGATAATCTTGGACAAATTACTTAGCTTCTGGATTTGCTTTTTCTGTTTTTTTTAAAAATAATGTATAATTGGAAAAATAATCTACATGAAAAGCACGAAGATAAAAGTGAATTTATAATTCGGAAAGAACTCTTAAAAAAATAATGGCAACTGTTATTCAAGCACCAGAGGTTCAATAATAATTTTTATCATACTAACAACAGCAGCTGAAATTTATTGAATGCTTACCATGCACTTAAGTGTTTTACGTATGCAGTCAGTTCCGCTATAACGTGATAGACTAGTTCCTAAAAAATCACATCACTGCAAAATTGTGCAAATGGAAAAAATAGGGCTAGGGACATAACACAAAGTTTGTCAGTGATACATAAAAATAAAAATTCATTCACTAAGTGAAAATGGTAGCACAGTTTTACACATGTTAAATGATTAGGAAATAACGTATATACTACAATAAATACGGCATTTTACTTTGAAAGAGACCTGAAATTTGACTGTGGAAGCGGGCGTTGTGAGTTATTGTGAAGAAGTGGAATGAGAGGATTTCTGAAATCGGACAGCAGTAACACCAGGTATGGATGGTCGTTGCTCATAACTCAGTGTGCCGAGGGAGCTGGTGGGTGTTTGAAGTGTGTGCATGTGTTCTTTTGTGTGTTCCTGTGCAACTCAATTCAGCTGGGTGTGGTTTTCTGCATTCACCTAGTATTTCGCATGGAAGAGTTGCATAATCAAATTTGTGTGATACTCAAATTTTCTTCTAATATATCAATTGCATTGGACCAAATTCCCACTTTCAAAACAAGTATTTCAGCAGAACTGACTGTACTATCTCATGTGGTC